TCGAGCACGCCACTGTACATGCCGTCGCAACGAATGCAGCTGCCACGCCATTTAGAGGGCGCTGCTTTGCTTGCAACCGGCCGGGCCATCGCAAGAGCGAATGTCCAGAAGAGCTGAGGCGTCGAGGAGCAGAGCAGGGGAGGGAGTCTCAGAGGCAGGGAAACGCCAGCAGTCAGTAGAAATTGGGCCAACTACTGACGAGACTGCCTGCTCGCCCAACCACACCGACCCTCACCGAGTCACAGTACCGATTCACGCCATCGATTGGGCTCGGATGAATAAGGAGGGTACAGCGACGGATTGCCCAGTACTGATCCACGGGAAAATACAGGGAGCAGCAGTCAAGATTTTCATCGACGGAGGAGCTAGCCACAGTTTAGTTAATACCGCAACCGCACGAAAACTTCAACTGACACTTAGCCGATGTTTACCTGAGATTGATGCGCGCTTAGTCGACGGCACGCCGCTGGCCATACGGGAGAGGGTGGAGAGAGTAAAAGTTCGCTGCGGGGGAAACTTCGGGTTTACACAGGAAATGCTCGCGACGACACTGGATGGGCACGACATTTTATTGGGACGTGATTGGTTGCGACGTTACAATCCGAGAATCGACTGGACGACGGGCAGCTGCACTGTGCGAAGTAGTGGTAACTGGGTCGAACTACCACGCTGGCAGTCGCCTGAGTCATCGACGGTCCACGTCAACGCCATCACAATGAAACGAGCAGTCGCCGCTGGAGCTGACGTGTATGCAGTAGACATCGCAGTGGTAGAAAAAGATGAGCAGCCGAGTGATTTCCAGAAATTGCTGACAGCGGTACCGCCGGAGCTACAAGAGCTATTGAAACGGTACCCGGGAATTTTCCCCGACGACTTACCGGAAGGACTGCCACCTCAGCGGGCGCACGACCATAGGATAGAGTTAGAGCCGGGGGCACAGCCAACTGTACAGCGCCAGTTCAGACTGACACAGCCGGAGCTAGACGAACTGAGGAAGCAGTTAGATTACCTGTTAGCAAAGCAGTTTATCCGACCGAGCTCGTCGCCGTTCGCCGCACCGATACTATTCACACCAAAAAAAGACGGAGGTTTTCGCATGTGCATCGATTACCGAGCGCTCAACAGGGTTACAATAAAGTCACGATACCCCATTCCCCGCGCCGACGAACTGATCGACCAACTGCGAACAGCACGGGTGTTCTCGAAAATAGATCTACGGGGAGGTTACCACCAAATTAGAGTCGAACCATCGGACTGCGCCAAGACAGCTTTTAGAACTAGGTACGGGTCGTTCGAGTACACCGTGATGCCTTTCGGGCTAACCAACGCACCCGCAACATTCCAGATGACCATGAACGAGGCGTTTAGAACACTTTTAGATAAGTGCGTGATCGTCTATCTCGACGACATTCTCGTCTACAGTCGCGATAAGCAGCAGCATTTAGCGGACCTGGAAGCAGTGTTTAAAATTCTCGAGGAGCATCGTTTATTGACTAAGGGGTCTAAGTGCGAGTTTTTTCGGGATAGGTTAGAATTTTTGGGGCACGTTATTTCAGAGGCTGGGGTTGAGATTGACCCGAAGAAGCTGGATACGGTCAACGCTTGGCGACCCCCGACAAACATCACGGAGCTGCAGAGTTTTTTGGGTTTCGTTAATTATGTCCGTCGATTCGTGCCTGACATGGCCCGCTTAACTGCCCCACTGACGGATCTGCTGCGGAAAGGGGTCACTTTTACGTGGGGGGAGAAAGAGCATGCTGCCTTCTCTACCCTGAAAACTGTTCTCTGTTCACCACCTGTCCTGCGCATTGCCGACCCACACCGCCCATTCGAAGTCATTACTGACGCAAGCGACATCGCCATCGGAGCCGTACTGTTACAGGATTTCGGGAACGGCCTACAGCCCATCGCATACGAATCACGAAAACTGCACCCACCTGAGAAGAATTACCCGATACACGATCGCGAAATGCTTGCGATCGTGCATGCGTTCAAAGTGTGGCGCTGTTACTTGACCGGCGCAGACGTGACAGTACGGACAGACCACAAATCTCTACAGTACCTCCGCGCACAGCCTCACCTCAACCCACGACAGATTCGATGGCTCGATTTCCTCGAGTCGAATTTTCACTACACGGTCACCTACAAAAAAGGAGCATCAAATATCGCCGATGCACTGACTCGCCCTACTGCCCAGATTCACGCGATACTACTCGCCCAGACCAGCCCACTGCTGACAGGCCTATTTACCCACGGATACCAAACCGACCCGTTCTTTACAGGAGGCAACTCGCAGCAGTTCGCAGCAGCACGAGGGATCTATTACGTAAAGGTTGGGACCGACCGCATTTGGGTACCCGGGTATACACTACTACGGGAATTACTGTTACAAGAGGCACACGACGGAGTTACCTCAGGACATTTCGGGGTAGAAAAAACACGACAGCAGCTGCAGCGATATTATTACTGGCCAGAAATGTTGACCGACATCCAACGACACGTAGCATCGTGTCCCACCTGCCAGGTCATGAAATCATCACGGAAGCGGCCGGCAGGACAGTTGCAGCCGATCCCACCCCCAGAGCGTGCTTGGCAGCAGGTGACGATGGACTTCGTCACGGGGTTACCGGCCGGGGCGAGTGGGAACGACGCGATCTTGGTCGCCGTCGATCGACTGACGAAGATGGCACATTTCGCAGCATGCAAGAAATCAATCACAGCCGAAGAAACAGCCCGCCTCTTCATCACCACCGTCGTTCGCCTTCACGGGATACCATCGGCAATCATCAGCGACCGCGACACGAAATTCACCAGCAACTTCTGGCGGAACCTGTGGCAGCAGTTCGGCACACGACTTCAATTCAGTTCATCCTATCACCCCGAAACCGACGGACAGACGGAACGGACAAACCAAACCATGGAGCAGCTGATTCGAGCCACGTGCGACGATCCGAACACGTGGGAACATCAGCTGCCGCTCATCGAGTTCGCGTACAACAACGCACCATCAGCCACGACGCAACAGTCCCCGTTTTACCTGAACTACGGACAGGACCCAACAGTACCCATGACCCCACACCCCGACAATCCAGTCCCACGAGCCCAACATTTCGCCGAGATTTTGCAAGCAGCACGGACCAGGGCAGCAGACGCAATTAAAAAAGCCAACATCATCGCTAAACGAAACGCCGATCGCCACCGTCGACCTGTCACTTACCAGCCAGACGACCTGGTACTACTCGATACCCAGAACCTCCGCCTGCCCATCACTCCAAAACTTCGCCCCCGATATTGTGGGCCATTTCGCATCAGCCACATGATCACACCCGTCACCGCCCACCTCCTCCTCCCTGCTGACTGGTACGTCAGCCCGTCATTCCACGTCAGCCTACTTCGCCCTTACATACCATCCACGAGCCAACTGCCACGAAATCGCCCAGCCAGCATGACACGTCCCCCAACCGAACCACTAATCACCCCTGAAAAAATCCTCAGCCACCGAGTCCGCAACCCTCGGGGAGCACGACGGATCGAATTCCTAATTCGCTGGAAGGATCGAACGCCCACAGAAGACAACTGGGTCCCCCTGGATAAAATTGAGAACCACCCTGTCTTCACCGAGTATCTGCGAAGCCGAAATTTCCGCGACGTCCATGCGCTCTCGTAAGCGGGGCCTCCTTGGGGAGGGGGGTAGTGTAAGGAAATTCCCTTTTCCTTACTTCGCGTCCCTGCTCAACGCGTACATCACTGTAGCACCTCAGTCAGCACCGTTACCACTCGCGACCATCGCATCATTCATCATCCCGCCCTTTTCGCACATCGCATCCCGACCTCACGGCTCGGCTGGTAACCCGCGCTCCGGGCCTACGCTTCGACACTTTCCCAACCTCAGTCCCAGGCTCGTCGCGCGACAACCACAGTCCATTACCGTTACCACTATTGCTTCGCTATATAATCCTTTGCTCATGCCTTCGCTCATTTTGTACTCCTGCTTCGATAGTGCAATTCTCGTTCGTTCACTCAATTGCACTCGTAACAGGTAGTAATTTCCGCTGAGTGAACACATTTGTAGAAGAACTTACACGTATATTTTTCAATTTAACTTGTGCAGGTAGGTTTTAAACCATAATTATTTCTTACACAGAGACATAATATTGTGTGTTTTTATTGCTTTGCATATGTATGTCCTACTAGTGTGTCCTAGGTAATCCATGTTTGAGCATTAGATAACTATATGTTTAGATAGCTGCATGAGAGGAATTGGTGGAACTTATAAAACGTAGCGAGCAATGTTCTAGCAATTCAAGGGTGGAAACCACCGCTATTTTTTTCCTTTCATTCGTTGGTTTCCACTTCCTCCTGTCCTTCCACCATCGAGTTCCCCTCGCGCTTCCCCCTCTGCCCTCCCTCTCACCTTTTCTCCCCACCTCGCCCCTACCTTCTTTCTCTTCTGGCGTTTCTTAGTAGGCGCTACTCTACTCTTTGACCAGGCGCCATGGCTGTCGGGTAGGTTGGCCCTAACCCTAAATTGATCGCTCTTAGGATCTACGGCGAGGAGACTCTTTCATGCGACAAAATTAAGGAGCAGCGCGATGCTTTTCATTGCGCCTCGTCATGTAGATTCGTTCGTTCTCTTTCTGCTTAGCCTTACCCGACCGCATTAGCCTCTCTTTGCCTCGACTCACATCCCTTCCTCCTCATTTGTCCACGCCAGTGCTTGAGTCTCTCGCTCTGTCTTGCCTGTCTTCCCGCCGACATCGGCGTTCCTCGCCTCACTCAATGATGTCGCCGCACTTGACTTGTGCACTTAACCGCACTGAACCGCCTTCGCATTCTCCATTCTCGGCGACCGGCCCTAAGCGCAGCGTGGCTTGATCTATCACTCGACTGGGTCGCCCTTCCTTTAGTATCCCCAGCACGAAGTCCCTTCATTCGTCCACTTGCACGCGGTGCTGACGTCTTCTCGTGGATTTGTTATCTTCGTGTTGTACCCCTCGCAGTAAGAACAAGCGTATTTCCAAGGGGAAGAAGGGAGGCAAGAAAAAGGCGTAAGTACTCGCGATACACCACCTCATAATCGCGCGCCCCGTGCGAAGCACGGAAAGCCGTTCACACCACATCCCGTCACGATCATTGAGAATTCTTAAGTATCGCATTCCGTTACGTTCTGTCTGACGGACCATCGTCCATGTCATCCCGCGCCAATTGTTCGCCCTCCAATTCATCCCGTCGGTCGTCGCCCGGTTGCGTGCAGCCAGGATCCCTTCGCGAAGAAGGACTGGTACTCCGTGAAGGCGCCCTCCATGTTCGCCACCAGGAACGTCGGCCAGACCCTGGTTACCCGCACGCAGGGTACCAAGGTGAGCAGCTCGCGTTACAGACGCAGCAGCAGGTTAGGAAGGATCAATCGTTTTTGTCACATCCGTTACAACTCCGTGTTGTCTGCTCCCTCGGGACGTCCGAGGTTTCCCAATGGTCGCGTTCTCGCTTCCTCTGCACGATGTCGAAAGGAACTGCCATGCGAACTATACTTCGCTTCGCTTCGTGTGTGTATCTCATCTCGCGCGGCTCTCATCTCGTCTCTCCATCTGTCTTTGATCCCCGTGCTGCTGCGCAGATTGCGTCCGACGGGCTGAAGGGGCGCGTGTTCGAGGTGTCCCTGGCGGACCTGCAGGTGGACGACGAGCAGTCGTTCCGCAAGATGCGCCTCCGCGCCGAGGACGTGCAGGGCCGCAACGTTCTCACCAACTTCTGGGTCAGTGCCTTTCTTGCTCACGGCTTTCTGATTGCTTTCTCACTGCGGGGTCGCGACGGGCTCAGCTTGCCATTGGCCGGACTACTTTGAACCTGAGCAGCCGCAGCGCCATCACGCGTGCAGATTTATTGCAGCTGATTAGGGTTTCCCGTAAGTTAATCAAGGAGAAGCGGCGCAGGGGAAAGTAGACGTGGCTGGGGAATGCACGGGGTGTCGCGGCGGCAGGTGCAGCTTGGATTTGCGCGGGTGGATGTCGGAATACGCGCCTGTTGTTCCGGCGGTTCCTCGGTATTCGTGCTGGAAAGGAAAATCTCCCTACGAAAAAAATCGGAGGGTCGGGGCCGCCTAAATGGCGTGTGTGTGCGGCATGAGTATAGAGCAGCGGAGATCAAGCAGGGCCATGTGAAGCACTTGAAGCAGGGTTCAAGCGGTTACACGGCATTGGAGTGGTCGAGTGTGGTCGAGGGTGGTAGAGGGTTGTAGAGGGAACTGTGACGGTGCATGGGAGGCACAAACATGCCTGCGAAGAGTAGGGGATTGCACAAGAATGATGCAGTGTGGCAGCACGGTCGCATTCAGGGGAGGTGGCAGCATATCAGGGGACGGTGTTCGTTAGGCTTCCCGAGATCACTGAGAAACTGGGGACTGTATTCCCCTCAGCCCCTCGACCCGCGCCCTCCCCACCTTGGGAAATAGAATGGATCCCTACCAGTACACGGACCTTCTCTCTACCAGGTCTCGCGTGTGTAAACCGCGTCGCCGACTTGTCGCTCGACTCGCGCCGTCGCGTCTCCTCTCCCAGTCTCCCTACCAGAAACAGTCCCTCGTGCGAAACCTTCCATGTCTTCCCTCCTCCCTTCCCCCTCGCATCTCTCCTACCTGCAGGTGTTAGTACCTACCTCTAATCTGTCTTTCATTCAATCTACGATCAGAACCCTCGTTCTTATCACGCTTCTCCCTTGCCCCTCCTCGTTCTGTCCCCGTTACAGGGCATGGACCTGACGACTGACAAGCTGCGGTCGCTGGTGCGCAAGTGGCAGACGCTGATCGAGTGCCACGTGGACGTGAAGACCACCGACAACTACACGCTCCGCCTGTTCGCCATCGCGTTCACGAAGCGCCGCCAGAACCAGATCAAGAAGACCAGCTACGCGCAGAGCAGCCAAATCCGACAGGTCAGTCGCCGCTGCGGTTCACGAGACGGCCGGGGAATTCGTGCTGGGAGCGTAAAAGTTGGGCCGTCGTCGTGCTTGCGGAAGTGCGAGGGTCCCCGCAGCAGTAGCTTTATGGACGGAATCAAATTCTGCACCACTTGACTCAGCGATCTGTCTCCTTTAGGACGAGGTCGAGGGCGACGACTCGTGTGGCTTATCAGGTTTTTTTAGGCTCGGGTGTGGGGCTACGGGTGTGGGGCTACGGTTGGCCACCGGGACGTGGTGGAGGTCTAAGGTTCTTGTGATTGGTCAGCAGTGACAGACTAGCCAGGCCTCGTGCAAGCAGTCGTGCTCGTCTATCCCAGCGAGTCGTTTTGCTCGTCTATCTCACCAAGTCGTTTCCGGCGCACTAGTCAAACAGAGCTCGGCCGCATCCCATGGCCTTTGTTCTGCCGCGTGACGCCCATAGCGACGAGGTCCCTCGCGGACTAGCTCCACTCGACGGCCCGCAGCCCTGCCATGGCTGCCGGCTGTTGACGCTGCTCACAACTCACATCCATTATTAGGCATCATGTCACTGACGCTGCTTACGATCGTTTTCAGGTTTTGAGCAGCCACCCTGCTGTCCTTACACCGGCCTCAGCCCTGCCATGGTTGCCGGTTGTTGACGCTGCTCACAACAGTCAAACCACACTCAACTCACCCCCCTTCCTGGTCAGACCGAGCAGACCTCACGATCGAGTAGACCCCACGCTACGGCTTTAGCAGAGCTCGTCACCCCATCTGACCACGGATACTCGTTGCAGGAAGATTGCGGGATACTGCAGTGAAGGCGGCGTGTGTGTGCTACGTGAAAAACCGTCGTCACGCCACCTCAAGGTCCTGGTAGCGAAGCTAACACTCCCCTCTTCTCCCTTTTCACCGTCCTCCCCAAACCACCACCCTCCCTCCCCCTTGCGCCGGCCCCCGCCACCGCCCGACCGTCACCTCCCTCCCTTTTCCTGTACCCGTTACGGACAGATTCGGAGGAAGATGCGCGAGATCATCGTGAAGGAGGCGTCGTCGTGCGACCTCAAGGAGCTGGTGGCGAAGTTGATCCCCGAGAGCATCGGCAAGGAGATCGAAAAGGCGTGCTTCGGCATCTACCCCCTCCAGAACACGCTCATCCGCAAGGTCAAAATCCTCAAGGCGCCCAAGTTCGACCTCGGCAAGCTCATGGAGGTGAGGGGGAGGGGGGGAGGAGGGGACGACCATGGAGGGGAGAGGGGGGAAAGGAGGGGAGGAGGAGGAGGAAGGAGGTGAGGAGGAGGGGGAAGGAGGGGAGTTCATGAAGGCTTGCTTGGGCAATTACACGCTTATTTGCAAGGTCAAAATCCTGATGGCGCCCTAGTTCGGCCGCAAGTGTGCTGACGGAGGTGAGAAAGAGAGGGTGGGTGGGAGGGGTTCCCTTGGAGAGGAGAGGGGGGGGGTGGGGGAGAAAGCTCATGGAGGGAAAGGGTGATGGAGAGCAGGTGGGGGCAGGGGGTAGGGGGTGAGGGGAGGAGACACGCTCATGGAGGGGAGACGAGGAGGGGAGAGGGGGGGCAAGCTTATGAAAGTGGGCGTTCGTGAGAGGGGGAGTGAGTGAGAGCTGCGAGGGGGTGCGACATGGTTAGCCAGGGAGATGGAGGGTTTCAGGTTGAGACTGGAAGGGGCGGAGAGGGCTATGTGAGTCGATTGAAAGAGGGGAGCCCGTGGAGGGGTGTGTGTGAAGCAGTTGTGTCTCGCGACTATCAATGCTTGCGCCAACGTCTCTGCTGTTTCCTGCAGGCGAACGGTGGGGAGGAGACGAGCATCAAGCGGTGACTGATATTTCCTTGTGCTTGTGTATCTGCCTGGTTTCTTGTGCCCGCCATTTCTCCCGGGCAACTCAGGTGCATGGCGATTACAGCGGGGAGGAGACGGGCACCAAGTTGGAGCGGCCAGCAGAGGAGAGTGAGGCGCCCGCTGCTGAGGGCATGGAGGCTGAGGCCACTGCGTAAGAGAGCGGTGCAGTGTGGTTAGCATGATATGGCTGGTCTTGCATTAGAGCACACTGTTGTGTTATGATGATCCAGCTGGTGGTTGATAAATAGTGAAAATTCCACGAGTAATGCCCTTGGTTAAACAACTGTCTGATTACACCAGCACTCCGGATGCAGACATTCTGCGAGTAATGCATTGCGAAGCAAGTTTTGGTCGTCAAGTTGAAAGTTATTGAGCTGGTTATCCTCAAGATGGAAGACTCAGGTGTGATTTACGGCAAGCTCATCTAAGCAATACGGTAAGCATGAAACTAAGGCTCTTATCGCACAATCCTCTCTTCACACCTGCTTGATACAATGCGTGGAGGTGAATTTACATGAATTTCAGTGTGATGTGACGCGAGCCTGATCAGAGGTTGGCCTGATAAGGGGCCGTAGGAACACGCCTGAAGGCAAATGTTTCACCCAAGTTGTTTGACATCTATAAAACTTTTCCGAACTCATGTCCCAAGTTATTCGCCACCTTGCGCACTACTTTTGCCAAAACACGCACTGTCAGATCAAGCCGGATCGTCCTTTTTCCCATGTCTCGTTGTCCCCCATCGCTCTCTCTACTCGGTTCTCCCCTCCTTCCCCTTCGCCCTCCTGTCACTCCTGCCCCTCCTCTCCTGTCTCCTCTCCCTCCTCTCTCTCCTCTCCCTCCTCTCTCTCCTCTCCATGCTGTCTTCACACCCTCTCCATCTATGGCACCGGGTGCTGATTGTAGTATGCCTTACGATGAGCTGGACAGATGCAGGGAAGGATGGTGGTGATAGAGGAGATAGGGGTGAGTTTATATGCGCCTGGAGGCAATATGAGGAAGGAAGCTAAGTAGGGAAAGGAGAATGAAACCGGGCAGATGCTGCTGAATTCTTAAGACTAGATGCATCAAAGTGTAGGCTTGACTGCTATGTTCATCGACCAAAACCAGATCCCGAGAGAGGGCGAGTAAGAAACTAGGGGGGACGGGAGAGAGGAATGGAGGGATCCATGAAAGGTTGTGGTGAGGGATGTCGATAAGTAGAGACGGAGGGGGATATAAATCTTTGGAAAGGGAGAGAAGAATGCTGCGTTGCTAGCAAGATGGCTGTGCCGTGCAATGGGCATGCATGAAGAGACGTGATCTTTGCTCACCTACGTGATGGCATTCGAAGAAAGAATCACTGACCTAAAGAATCACTGACCTGAAGAATCACAGACCTGCATCAATGGAGGACCACCTCATCATGTCCATTCATCTCCTCATCTCCTCAAACCATGTGTCCGCCATATCGGCCATTTCCTCTGCCGCTCTCAGCTCCCCCTCCCCTCCTCTCTGCATCCCCACCCCTTTTCTCTCCACCACTTTTGTGTGTCTGCTGTGTCCTTCTCGTTCTCCTCCACTGGCCGTCTCACCCTCTTCCTTCTCGACTGTGTGGGCCTGTTGATGTGCACGACACTTCGCACCTGTAAAGTTGGGACCCCTATTGCTGTTGCATCATGCGCTGGCCTCACTGCAGGAAGATATATCGGCGTGTTGGCCTGAGTCACGAAGGTGCAGGGATGGGAGGGCGGAGGGAAGACCAAGTTGCAACGAGAAACAACATGGCTAGCTACGACACCTAGGGGCCTAGCTAGGCGAATGTAACCGTTTCACGGTGCCAGTGAAGTGCGGAGAGCTCAAGGTCGCACCTCGTGCTCTCTATCAGTGTCGCACCATCGACGTGCAGACCGAGAATGTGACCCCCAGAAAGGTGTGTGCTGGGGGTGTGTGTGGAGTAAGTGAGTGAACGGCAGCGCACATGAATGTGTTCGTCTTACAAACAGAAGAAAAGGCACACATTCATGTGCGCTGCCGTTCACACACCCACTCCACACACACCCCCACCCCAGCACACACCTTTCCGCAAGTCACGCTCTCGGTCTGCAAATCGGTAGTCTCTACACTGATGAAGAGCACGAGGTGCCACCTGGAGCTCTCCGCATTTCACTGGCACCGAACAAAGCACGAATGGATATAGCCCCTTTATAACAAGCCTCAATTCAATCCCGGCCTGGATCTACCCAGCATAACCCGGGGGAGGTCAATAGGCCGGAGGCTCGACGACCCACTTGGCTTTCACGACCCAACCCGGCTGGTTCCTCACTGACAAGTCAAGACCCAGCCCCAACTTGGCCCAAAAGAGCACAGGCCGGCTTGAAGAGAGCTGGGCCTAGCTAAGCCCTTGTTCAAGAGTGCTGCCATGCCTTTCACCCACCTGCATTGGGATAGAGCGTCTCCTCCGACCATCGTAACAACTTCTGCAAATCTCCCACCAGCACCTCTCCTCCTGTACACCTTTTTTATGTCATTCCTCAACCCACATGGAGGCTCTCCTCTTCGTACCACTCCTCCCATCGTCCGACTGCCCGTTAGACTGTGCCGCTACCGTCCCACCCCACCTCCTTTTCCTTCACACGCCCCCCGCTTCGTTCGCCTCCCCTCCCCTCAGTTGTGCCGTTTCCCTGATTCTTCGTCGTCACACCCTTTTCTGAAAGCACATGCGACGCTTCTGCCCCTTCCCGCGCCACCCCTCGTTCTCGTGCCTCCCACGATTCCTGCCTCACCCCACGCTACGCCCCTTGACCTCCCTGCCCCAATCGCCCTGCCTGCTGCGTGGGAGTCACGGGGTGAAAGTTCTCCTCCTCTCCTCTCCGCGGTTCCGCCCTGTCTTCGCTGACAATCGCCATCGCTGCTACCATCGTGCCCTCGCGGCGCCCTGCATCCATCGGTACGTCGATTTCGCTTATCAAATCTCTCCACAACCCTGGAGACACGTCGACGCGAGCCATCGTGACGAATCGGCTGACAAACGGACTCTCGCCACCTTGATTCAAAATCGGCTACAGGATAGTCTCTAGACGGTTTAAAGAATCGATTCGCCGCCGTTGAAGCACACGAGCGTAGTAAAAAACCTAGAGTCTTATTGTTGGTTATGCGACAACACACACGTTTCGGATGAATAAGAAGCGGGTTTGTTTACGAGAAAAGGGGTTCTCATGGGGTTCTCATGGCGGTTCGGCCGAATGGGGAAGCTCGCCGTCGCGAGATCTGCTTGAGGCCACTGGGTAATGGTTCGCTCCGTCAGCGCCAACGGACACCTGCTTTCGTCATAACTGTTGTATGAAATTGAGACGAAAGGACTCGTGGTAGCTATTGAATGTGATTGAGACGGAAAGGCGAACATATGTACATTACAAATGTTAGGGCGTGTAACATCGCATCGAACCATGCCCTGGTCGACTGTTTGGTCGACCATAAGCTTCGCAAGTGTTCACGAGGGGCGACGGATTTACAACCTCCTAACCACCCCTTTGGGCGACCAGACAAGACGTGGCTGATTTGGAGCAATCTGACAGTGCATCAACGAAACGGAGTAGAGTGCGACAATCAGGTGTAACGACACACGAATTGAGTCGGATTGGTGGAATCAATTTGGACGAAGGATATTCGTCGGCACGCGACAACTCGCGTGAGTTCGCGCAGGCCAATGCGCGTCACAAATTCTGTGTTGCACGGTTTCACGGTTTCAATCGGCATTGTATCGCGACCCTTCTCGTGCACGTTCGTTACGCACCTGTGTGACGAGATAGTCGACAAAGTTGGTGTACACAGTGGCATACTGGAAGGTGCGGAAGGCTGGTCGATTTGCTCGAATTGCGATTGCGAGAAGCGAAATATAATCCTCACAGAAACCACGGTTTTTAAGCTGTTCGCTGTGATGTTACACGCCCTTAGCGGACCTAGCTCGAGCTGGTGCGGGTTGAATCGAGGTGCATGACGACTGTATCACGGAACAGCCGAATTGAAACGCCGAAGTTCGAACTGCATCACGAATTTCCGCTGCTCTGATTTGTCACGAATCTTGACTTTCTTTCGGCAATTGCTGGCGAACGGCAAATCGAAATTCGCGAAGCTAGTACCCTTTTGCCAAACCAAAGCCTCACAAAAACGGTACGCGAGTGTAAGGAGCGAGGAGAGACTTCAACAGGAAACACAACTTGAAAAAATGAAAACAGTCCTAGTAATAACTGTTCCAAGCACTAACTATCGGCAGGTCTCTCAGCCTACCACTTAGTCGTGCGCATTCTCACCTGCTAGCCCCAGTTGCGTTACCCTCGCATGCGGCGCCTCGTGAAATTGTACTGCACAAAAAACTACGAAGCAAGGGCTTCGGTTCTACAACAGCGTGTTTTCCTCCAGTCTGCGTTAGTTCCATAAATCTCGTCGCGATCAGGGAGCACTTGATCAGTTCGCCATTCTCCGTTGGTCCCGGTGGCGAACGTGTCAGAATGCTATGGGTGGACAAGCACCGACCAGCCACGCTGGACAAAATCACTGTTCACCGCGACACGGCTTTGCAGCTGAAGCAGCTGGTGGGTAGCGCACAGCAACGCGTATTGCCGGTGCCTTTGCAGCACCCTTCCCCGCATACTGGAAATGTTTCTCCCGCGCATTCTCACGTGCAAGCACCGATTCGGACTCCTTGTCCCACCTGCTTTCCCCTTTCGCCTCCTTCCACCCTCCTCCCGCTCTTAAGGCACACACCAAGTCGCATGCTTCCCTCTGCTGCTATTCTGTTCGACCTCCCCGGTCGTGCAGGCCTTGCATGCCTCTCCCTTCCCGGATCATCGGTCCACAATACCTCTTTTTAGGCGCCTCAGACATTGTTTGTATCCCCCCCACTCCCCTCCCCTTTCCTCCTCCCGCCTTCCCCCCCTTTCAACCCTCCCCCACTCCTCAATCCCCCTTCCCTGCAGGGAAAGTCACGAGGATACGGCTTCCTACTCCCCTCCCCTCCCCTCCCATCCCCTCCCCTCCCATCCCCTCCCCTACCCTCCCCTCCCCTCCCATCCCATCCCCTCCCCTCCCATCCCCTCCCCTACCCTCCCCTCCCCTCCCCTCCCATCCCCTCCCCTCCCATCCCCTCCCCTCCGCTCCCCCCCCGATCCCCTCCCCCTTCCCCCCTCTCCTTCCCCTCCCAGGCTCATCGAGCAACAGTAGTACATATCTCGTCTCGGCATCTTCCCCCCCCCCCCCTCCCCTCCGTGCAGGTGCAAGCGGGCGACTGTCCGCACCTGCTGTTCTTCGGCCCGTCAGGAGCGGGCAAGAAGACTCTCGTGCTCGCACTGCTGCGCGAGATGTTCGGTCCCGGGGCTGATAAGGTGGGGTGGGGGCGGGGGAGGTGGGGGGGGGAAAGGAGGGGGCTGGGTAGGTTGGAAAAGATGTGGGGAAAGGTTGGGAGAGCGGGAGAGCGAGGGGAAGGAGGGAGAGTTACCACGTTACGAAGGGTTGATGGGAACACATCATCCCCCAGAATGAACGGTGAGCAACTGTCCGTTGCTTTAGTGTATGTGACAGACAGGAACCGTCAAGCCGTATGCGTAGGTTAGGCTCGACACAATCTGTCAGATGTAGGCTTGACAGGATCCGTCAAATGTAGGCTTGACAGGATCCGTCAAATGTAGGCTTGACAGGATCTGTCAGATGTAGGCTAGACAGGATCTGTCAGATGTAGGCTTGACAGGATCCGTCAAATGTAGGCTTGACAGGATCCGTCAGATGTAGGCTTGACAAGATCTGTCAGATGTAGGCTAGACAGGATCTGTCAGATGTAGGCTTGACAGGATCCGTCAGATGTAGGCTTGACAGGATCCGTCAGATGTAGGCTTGACAGGATCTGTCAGATGTAGGCTTGACAGGATCTGTCAGATGTAGGCTTGACAGGATCTGTCAGATGTAGGCTTGACAGGA